ATGTGGCCAATGAGCAAAGGTACGTGAAGTAATTTCCCCTGAAGTCAGCTCCTGATTTCTCTACGTCCCGCTCCCCAGTCTTCTGTGCACACAGTGGACCTCGGAATGGCCAATGCAGACAAGAGCCCATTAGGAAGAATAATGAGTTACTATTTTTTGTGTGCAATGTGCCGGGAACTGTGCTGCTCATCCTTCCAGCTCCATGAACCTATCTTCTGTTTCTTAATAGCACTGATGTCCCACTGACCTTGGGAAAGTCATCTACCACTCCTCCTGGGCCTCCATCAGCTCCCCTGTAGAGCGAGGTTTGAACAGAATAATTTCCTCCATAGAATGTCTGTGTGTGTGTGTGTGTGTGTGTGTGTGTGTGTCTGTTGGAGTAGATCTGCCTAAAACTCAGCTTGATCCAAGGACCACTTTGTATGTTTATTACACCCGTATGTCCCTGAGGGAGTTTCGTGCATCTCACTGCAATTTGCATGCATCTCCATGGAAGTCACATTTCTGAAAGACTGTGAGAGTTGCTTGACTCAAGTATAAGGAAACCACAATATAAGAATTTTAAATTGTTAAGGGGTATTTTGACTTGGGTAAATAGGAAATGGCCTTATTAAAAAATAATTTATCCATGGAATATTTTCCACATGGACGAGTCTAACAATAAAAGCATTTCAATTTTGTGAATATCCTCTTGAACAATTTGGAAATTTTCTAATAAGCCACCAGAAAGATGACAATCGGGTGTCTGTCCTTTTCTACTGCCAAACAGCAGACTGGGAATGTGTTTGTGGGTTAAATTTTAATCTGTGGATTAGAAAATTTTAATAACTAGCATAAAAATTCATCCTAGCAAAACCTACGTTACAAACTCATGGAGCCGCTGATTCAATCCAGAAGCTGAGGTTTCTAATGCACTAACTGAATTTCCTATCTCCTTGCACCCCTGCAGCATGGCCATCCTCCGCCACCAACACATGACCTCCACTTCCTCCCTATCCTAGCACAACGGAAGTCTGCCCCTGACCCCAGAAGTCTTCTGATCCTTACCCACCTCTCCATCTTCAATCTGCCCACTCTCCCTCTTGCACGTTTTTTTTTTAAATCTTCGTTTTTAAAACTTCATTGATTTTTGAAAATTTATATACCATAAAACGCACAGATCTTCAGTGTATAGTCTGATGACTTTTGACAAACGTAGACTCTCTTGTTACTATCATTCAAATCAAGATACAGACTATTTCCATATCCCAGGAAAGTCCTTCTGGGCCCTTTCCCGTCATTCCACTGCTCTCTGCACCCACAGACAACAAATGTTTGGATTTCTAGCACAGTGAATTGGTTGTGCCCAGTCTGGAATCTCACATAAATGGAAATCATGCATTATGTCCTCTGCTGTGTCTGACTTTTTTGCCTCAACACCTACGCCTGCAAAATTCAGACACGTTGCTGCGTATTTCAGTACCTCTTTCTGTTTTATTTTTTTAATGGTTTTCTAGTATACTGGAGACTATCATGGAAAAGTTGTTATAAACATTCCTGTAGAAGACTTTTTTAACCCATGTTTTGGTTGCTCTTGGATCTTTACCCTGGAGAGAACTTGCTGGGTCATAGAGTGGGGCATGCTCATCTTGACCTTGCACTTGATGATCCAGCCTGACTCATTTTTTGTGAGTTCCTCAGAAGTGCCTACTCTCACTCTTTAAGGCTCCACATTACCTTCCTCTCCCTTCACCTGGGTAATTCCTACCCATCCTTCAAGTCCTAACTTAGATGTTACACATCAAAGAAACTTCCCAGCAAAGGCCTCATACATGCTAAGTGCTCCATTAACACCTGTTGGACAGATGGGTGGATTGATAGGGGAATGAAGAGTCTTAGGGATGGATTAGCCGGTCCAGTGTTTTTCAAATTGTCCTCTGTGGAACTCTTATCTTTCCTCCATCCGCGCAGAGACCACTGGAGGGGGGCGGGTGGGGCAAAATGGGCCGGCAACAGGTTGAATTAGATCATCTTAGCACATTCCCACTGGTGCCACTATGGAAAACGGTAGGGAGTTTCCTCAAGAGATTAAAAGTACGTCCCTGTTCTAATGAGTACGGTCAGAATTGGTGATCCAGGGCCAGCAGGTGCCAACATGTGTGGAGCAGAGATGGACCGTGTTTGGTACATACGTCCATGAAACCAGCTCTCAACTGTTACAATCAACTGGAAATAATTTCTCTGTGCGTGCCATTTCCTTGCAAGAATTAAGAACTGTGTAAAAACTACAGAACGAGCTGGAACACTTCTGATGGCGGGGGTCCCTGTTGTGACGTACAGTTGTCTCGTCTTGTGAAAACCCGTGTTAGAAAAGAGCTAATTCCAACTCCACTGTGGTGTGAGACTATCACCAGTTCAACAAGTGAAGTACTCTGGCTCATCAAATGCTGCTTTCACAAATTGTGCCAAGCAAAAACTTAAAATGGGGGAGTGTGGTGCACACTCAGGAGAAAGGGCACCATGCTTTCGGAGGTCTCCACCATCCACGATGCACTGACTACAGATCACCGCCATCAGAGCGAGCCGACTGACAACTTTGGACACGGTCTCTAGCTAATGTAAGCACGGCAGCAAAAGCAAGAGCTACCTTGCTGAATGATTAATGTGTGCTGGAGGTGAGCTGAGTGATTTACACACATTCTGAAACGTCATGCTCCTGATGATCCTCCCAGGGGCACTGTCTTTGTCCCCATTTTCCAAATAACAAAGCCCAGAGTTTACCTTTCCTTCACCTTCACCGGGCTCTCAAAAGTAGGGGGGCTACCATTATTTGTTTGATGATTAGATGAGGTGCTGGTTGCCAAGAAGCTGTGACCTTGCGAGCCAGGGCCCCTTTCCTGCAGTTCGTCACCAGTCACCAGCTGCCTGACGCAGAGCGAATGCTCAGTGGGACGTCTTACAAATTACAATAGAGATTGACACAAGATTTCCAAGCAAGTCCTTCAAGGGGCATCACAACGCATTTCAGAATTTGAAGGGTTGAGAGGATGGGATGGAGCAGCTTCTAGAGGAAGAGAGAGCAGCCCGGACATTGCCCCCGGGCGTGGAGGAGGGGAGTCAAGAGGAAAATGAATTGAACTCCCACCCAGGTTCCTAGGCCCCTCTTCTGTGGATGGAGGGGTCCATGTGCCGCGTCACCGACTGTCTCCCACAAAGAGATGGAAATAAGCAAGGTCTGTGATGTTCCCACGGATGTTCAACCGACCATGTTCATATTTTGTTCTAAATTCGTCTCCAGGAGCTTATACAAACTAAAAATATTAACATATCATTTAATAATCAACAGTGTGGGTGTGTTGCTATGTCGTTTGTAGGACTGGGGACAGATGTTTGAGGGAAGAGAGGGAAAGGAACCCATCTTAAATCCTTCTTTTTGCCTGAAACCCTCCCTGGCACCTGGTTCCAGGGCCTTCTCCCTGGCCTTACCAAATGTTCCCGTGTGTAGATAAAACGAATTAAAAAAAAAACAAAGACTTGGCCTTTGGTGCAGCATTTGGATGCAAAATAGAATTGAATATAGGGTGGCTGGCTGCAAGCTGCTTTCAAGTTCCTAAGGACCAAATTGCTGTTTGCTAAGGCAATTTCATTTGACCTCCCCTGGACAGCGGCATACATGAGACATTTCCTGAGGCCGCAGGTGTCCTGCACATCGCTGGCTGGCTCTGACGTAAATGCTAAAAGGAGAATTCTAAGGGGCACCTGGGTGGCCTTCGGCTCAACTCATGATCCCGGGATCCTGGGATGGAGCCCCGCATCAGGCTCCCTGCTCAGCGGCGAGTCTGCTTCTCCCTCTCCCTCTGCCCCTCCCCCCTGCTCATGTGCACATGCACACTCTCTCTCTCTCTCTCAAAATAAATAAAATCTTGAAAAAAATAAAAGGAGAATTCTTGTTATTTTTCTTCCCCATCTTTCATGTTTAAAGGACGGTAGGGATGGTCCCCTGGCAGTTAGGAAATCAGGAAGGCAAAAGGAATGGCTCCTTGGCAGCATTAAGATGTGAAAAACAGGGAGACTGACAAGCAATATCAAACCCAAAACGTTCTCCATAATTTTAAAAGAACGAGAGACAAGCGCATCCTGGACTTGGTAACATTTATTCAATATTCTGTGAAATTAGCAAGAATCAGAAGAAGCACATATCAATCCAATACAGCCACAAACATGTCCTGGATATAAATAAAGTTGCACTATGAGAAATACTCACTACGGAAGGAACTAGTACTCTCTTATATTGACTACCTCTTAGCAACAAACAACTCCAACGTAAATTTAATTTACTCACAGTATAAAAACCTTGACTTTTAAAAGGAAATATAGATTCAATGTGATCATAATTTGCCTCACGAGGCCCTTTTGCTGCATGATTTCAAGGCCTGGCTTGATGACTGTTATGGAAATGACAAAAACGAACTCAAAAGAACATTTCTGCAAGGTTCAATGAAACAGTGCAGAAATAAGTTACTTACCCATGCACAGAATGAGGCAAAGGCTAATTTCATTCGGGTTAGGGATAATAAATGCAACTAGTTTCTTATTCACGAAATAAACATCTCAGACTTCGTTTTAGGTTAATGGGTATACTGTTATATGGGTCATACTCTACATGTATTTTCTAACTACTCAGAAAGCCGGCACTCACACGTCACATAGAAACTTCTCCTCAATTGGACTTAGTCTCTGTAACAGCCACAGAAAGCCAACTGCGTCTCATGACGATATCTACCATGGGAAGAGCACACACTAGTCGAAGCATACAGTTTAAAGAGCTGAAAGTACATTAAAACGTAGTCTATGGATTTCACAAATTTTGTTTTTTTTAAAATATTTTTTCCAAACTAAAAGCTGCAGAAAATTATTTCTTCGATATTCTACCGAAAACTCTTGAGCAGCTACCATTTCAAATTTCTTAAGCTTTTTATTTTCTTAAAAATATTTAAATGAGGGTAGTATCCCATCTTTTTGAAAAATAATCCCCCCAAAAAGATTACAAATCTTTCGTTTTAATCAGCGTGACCAGGGGTTTGTCATCGGGGCTGTAGTCCTCATAGGCAATGGGGGTCACGTCGTACATCGCAGGCCGGGATTTCTTTCCAAACCTGAAACCACAGGGGAGAGAGGACCCTGGTTAGATGAACACTGGATCTCAAGTCCTATGAAAGGCAAGTGGTGAGAATTAACTTAAATTCAAGAATCAGATGGAACAATAAAAATACCCTAAGAAAGATATTCTCTAGCAAGCACAGAAATTTAAGAGATCTGGATATCAGCGCTGAATTAGTATGCACGTTAGTCTCCAGTGCAGGAGGTAAAAAAAGGATTTCATGGAACATGGTGTCCAAATGAGTGTTGAAGCTTCCAGGTTAAATCCTGGCAAAGCAGTCGGCCCCACAGCCCTATAATAGGTTTTAAGACAACGTGTATCTATTTGTCTTTTTCTTCTGAGACCCGTTAACCATCTGGAGAGGCAAGTTTATTTTACAACCATTTTAGTGCCTGGAACATACACTAGTCTTCCTGGGGACTTCCAGGAAGGTTAGGAAGGCTCAGAGGTCATCTGAGGTCCCAACATGAGAAGAAGCGCAGAGAGAGGAAAGGACTTCAGATAAGGAGATGTTTGTCCATAGTACTCGGCGCCCATCACTCAACCCCACCTACCCATTCCTCCGCACACCCCACGTACACACCAGCCATTGTTTGTTTTTCTCTGAGCACAAGCCATTGTCCCAAAAGATCTGTGTATATAAGAATCCCCTCAGCAACAGGACTGACGCCCAGAAGCCAGGGGTGTCAAAATCCAATTTCAGGACTTCCTGCCAAACCAGTCTTAAGATGGAAGAGTACTAAAATAAAGCCAATTCAACTTCTGGGTGGTCTATTCCCATTGAAGTCCTCACCTTCCCTAAAGTCCCTGGAGTACCATATGATTTAAACAATCTTCCACATTTACCCACCGCGCCTCCTCCCTCAGATAGACCACATTTTTTAACCGTTTCAAGTTCAATAAGGTTCAAAAAAAGAAACACGTAAAGTACTGTACATTTTAAAAAGGCTGGTGGGATGGGGCCTGAAGACTTCAAGGGGCTTATTTACCATGGCTTTCAGCCTACCTCCCCAGCCCCCATTCCCCCTTTTCCCTCTGCTGTCTTGGAAAGGCGGTCTTCTTACATTCAGCAAGGAGAAGGAGAACGGAGCGGGAAAGGAGAAAATGATGCATTCTTCATCGGACCTTTTGTTTTTAAACATTCATCAATCTTTTGCTCTGATTCACTCAAGATTTACTGGTCTTCGGGGGCACCAAGGCACAAACCATGCCAGATGGGTACCAGGCAAAATGCAGGCTTAAAGAGTTAATGCATTCTGCCACCAAGAAATCCAAGGATGGTACCATAAGATGAAAAAGCTTTTGAGAAAATCATGTCTAAAAATGTGAAGTCTCACTGGTGCTTGCCTACATGCGGGCTGGATTCCAGCCTGTGGTCTGTTTATCTAAACTGAGCAAGGCCTGCATCATCTGAGACTAGGGAAAGGGCAACAATGTAAAAGTCAACTGGATCTGAACACTTTCTTCCAAGGCTGAAACTTTTAGAAGCTACTTTAAGGCACAAATATTTTGACAATCTATTTCTCATAAAACAGCTAGATTCATTGGTAACAATACACCACTAATAATATTGATTCATTTCAAAAGTCAAGCAATTCCAGGGAAAAGCCCTCCAGGTCCTCACATAGGTGCCGTGGGATAGTTTCCTGGGGAAACTTTGATGGGAGGGTCAGCAAATCACAGATTGCCTACTAATCAGTTGGTTGGCCAAGAGGAAAAATTTAAGCAACTTAAAAGGTTGAATATGTGTTTACAATATCCATTTTATTTTTATATGACTTCATAGTTTAAAGAAGAATCTGTGTCTCCAAAATCTAGGAAGTTAAATGCCTCCACGTTATGCAATCTGCCAACAAGCTATCTTTCAACGGGCTGTCATCTTAAATTGTCATCATGGGGCTGAATATCGACAAGGCAGGTTTGAGGATGGGTGTTTCGGATCCACTGAGCATAACGAGGCAAGGGCTGAAACCGGCCAGAAGCAGCCACGCAGTCACTGTACTTACACGGAATCAACTGAAGAACGAGAACCTTGCTTCGTATCTAGAGAAGTCACTGGCTGTGTGCACAGTGCTAATGAGATGACTCCAAACCAGAATGGGTCATAAAGCATAAAGTTGGTGGGGCGCCTGGGTGGCTCAGTCAGTTAAGCGTCTGCCTTCAGCTCAGGTCATGATCCTCGAGCCCCGCATCGGACTTTCTGCTCAGCGGAGAGCCTGCTTCTCCCTCTGCCTGCCGCTCTGCCTATCTGTGCTATCTCTCTGTCAAATAAATAAATAAAACTTAAAAAAAAAAAAGCATAATGCTGGTTATAAAGGTAACATGGTTTTATTTTATTTTATTTTATTATTTTTTTTTTAAGGTAACCTGGTTTTAAAAGGGCTAACTGCTCCAGCGCTATCTTGGAGCTGGAATCCCTGTCCTATGACTTAACTAGCTCCTGAGAAGCCTATCGAGCCAAATTCCTCAGGTGAGATGCAGAGGTCTCCACCCAAAGTGCAGTATCCACCACGTAGAAGTAAAATGGCTTTTAAAACACAATAAAATGAGGGGCACCTGGGTGGCTCAGTCGGTTAAGCAGCCAACTCTTGGCTTCAGCTCAGGTCATGATCTCAGGGTCCTAAGATAGAGCCATGCGCTGGGCTCCGTGCTCAGCACGGAGTCTGCATGTCCCTCTCCCTCTGCTCAATCGCTCGCTCTCTCTCTCTCTCTCTCTCATGAATAAATAAAATCTTTAAACACAATAAAATGAAACAAGACTTTCCTTCAATCTCCTACACCTATCACCGTGGCAAGCTCACACGTAGTGAAAAAAATGAATACGCATTCCTGCTTAAATGTTTAATCCCAACAGTTTTTTATATTTCCTTTGTGTTAAGAAACAAGCCAACACCTACAGAGTTCCATTTAAACTCTCAGGCACTAAACCAGTGTAAGAGCTTGCCGTGTTATGGCAGGAGTATTTATGTGACCGTTCCTTTATGTAACACATTGGTTTTGTTTGGTTTTTTTTTCCCCTTATCACAAAGATACGTTTTAAATGTAAAGAAAAAGTTTGGAAAATAGAGAAAGTTATACTGGAGACCAGGGGTTAACAATGTAGATAGCCTGCAAGCCAATGACAGCCTGTTGCCTGTTTTTAAATAAAGTTTTATTGGAACGCAGTTGAGCCCCTTCATAATGCGTCTTTGCTACTTTTGCACTACAAAGGCAGAGCTAAATAGTCACAGAGACCCAGACAACGTAAGGTCTGTAAAGTCTAAAATATTTTGCAGGCCCTCGATGAAGACTAAGAATCGCCTATAGTGCCGCCCTCCGAACGATCCAGCACAGTGTGTGGCCAAAGCAACAAAATCAGACGCAGTAATGGAAGTTGTGGCATCAGCGGCATTAAAGTCACTGACGCGTCCAACACACCCGGTGACAAGTCTCGTACATCTTAAGCCACTACAAGCTACTGCAACCAACTGCAAGGCAGATCAAAGAGTGTGCGTTCTTCTAGTTCATACTCGCCTGAAAGTCAAAAGCTAAAACACCACCGCAGGGAATGTAGGTGGATCTGACCTTGAGAAAAGCCAGAACTCCGAGATGCTATTTGAGAAAACGTGACCAGATTCTTTCACAGCTGTTCTGTTTTTTTGTGTGTGTGTTCTGTGATCAGGCCCTTCGAGCTGGGGGAGCAGTGAGCAACCTGCAGCCGAGACGTGACCTTGCTCCAGAGCCTGGAAGGCCCATTCGCTCCCACTAGTCACTTGCAAACTCTCTCTAGCCTGAGCGTCAGCAAAGCGGTCACAGAACACAGGACTCTTAACAAGAGAGAGAAGGGAGCACCAGCATCAACTGAGTGCTGACGTCAGAATCACCAGACCCTTCCTCGGCCACTCGTGAATGTCACAGGTGACCCACTCGGGACTCGTCCTGTGTGGCTACTGAGCTGCAGTTATTCTGATCCAGTGTCACCAGCTGGGAGGCAGGCTGTGAAATGGGCGTTAGCTCTAGGTCACTCCTGGAAACTAGGGAGGAGGTAATATCAAAAGGGTTAATTTTTTTTTCAATGCCTTTCTAGGGTTTCCGGGAAAAGGGAGTGCAAAGGGGCCAACCAGCCAGAGACCCAGCCAGGACCTTGAGACGGCCATGCTGTAGAAACCACAGGTCAGAGCTGAATCAACATTTATGAGGGAATGTTCCAGATATCTCGGAAGGTTTTATATTAACTTCAATGGTTTTATCTGCAGTCACTGGTGCATGGAGGAGCTTTTTGGTTGGGAATTCTGCAGTAAATATTTTTGATAAAAATTGGCACCAAAGAAGAACCAGGTTTGTAAATGCTTTCAAGTTTATTCTTTCCTTCCAAGACTACGCAGTTAAACATCTTCCAAGTGGGCTACATAAGCAGGAAGCTCAGAAGAATCTATCTTACTAAACCATTCTGGGGCTGAAATAAAATACTCCTGTTGAACACAAAAGAATCTTAGCCAGAGGTCCCTATGGGGGTAGAGGGAACCTGACTCCTTGGGTCTCCCAATACATCCTAGTATAGCACCCCTGAATCTGCTCCTTCCCGGTGAACTCAGCACCCGGGAATGGAGAGAGAAGGCTCTTGAGCAACAAAGCAGCTTATCGCCTCTCCTCTCCTTTCCTTCTACCTCTCCTTCTACCTCTCATCCCGTGACTTCTGAGTACTGCAAACACTCCTGCGGGCCACTTACGAGGCCTGTTGCCCTAGGATGAAGCCACCTGTCAGGCAGGTCAAGACATCCTACACCAGGCCCTAACAGAGACTGTCCTTTCACTACAGACCTCAAATTCTGGGAAGTCAGGCCTACTATGTGCCAGGACCCACTGAGGACAGGAATAAAATGGCCCTTTATGTACAGGCCGGTGGAGGAGTCAAATTAACAAGACCGGCAGGGACTGGTCTCAGGGCTGCCTGGAGGCTGTGCTGGCAAGCTCAGCCCTGAAAGGAAGGAGGATCAAGGATGAGCAGCCGTGCAGCGCCTGACTTGGAAGGGGATGCACCTTCCCCTTCTCCTTCATAGTTCTAGAAGTAAGGGGGATGCAGCTCTCAGAAAGAAGATACCCTCGCCCCACCTGGGCATCGGGGCAGCTTCTCCATGTCTCCCAATTTCTTTCCTTCCAGTGGCTCCTCTCCCTGAAGGCCAGGGTTGGGCTTTTGCTTCCATTAGAGGGGCAAAGTCACAGTCAGATTGGAGTCTCGGGTTTGGGGACTTCCTCACGAAGAAAGCAAACTTTCTGAACCTCTCAGCTTCTATGCCATTCGGACAGAATTTGGATCTGTGTGTGTTTTGATCAAGACCAGTACCCCATGTCTCAGCAAAGGTTAGGCATCCACTAGGTCTCGTGAGCCCCAATCTTAAGACACCAAGCTGAGCCCACTCCTCGCTACCATACATTCTTTCTGAATTGTGTGCTTTAGACTGTTCTAGCAGTTAAAAGAAGAGAGAGCTTTCCTTTAACAAACACTGTCGTTACCGTTCTGGTAGTAGATATCCTTTGCAGAAGTCAACAAAATGTTAGGTTAGCTGATTTTTTTTAGTGTTCGATAAGAGAGAAATAAATATGGTGTCATCTGCTTACACAGGTCTTTAATACTAGTAATTTAATTTGATTGCCTTAACTCTCCAAGCAGGGAGACCTATGTCTTTTTTTCAGCTGAAGGAACAACAGTACTTGTGGAGGTTTGACTGGTCTGTGTGAAATAGAGTCAGGTAATGGGGTAGTTGGGCCTCACGCGCTCTCTGTGGTACCACACTCACTCCTTGTCTCTCCAGGAGTCTTTCCTCCAGAAAAGGACACCGAGTTATACGATATGAACGCTAACAGCAGAATGATAGCTGTTTGTTTCTCCTTAAGTAAACCCCTAAATCAAATGTTATTTCTATCCAGGCTGTTTGAAGAATGTCGCTAAAGACATTCCAAAAAGCAGTCATCAAGAAATGTTTCCTACACCGTGATTAAGAATCGGCTATTTAAAGCACAGATAAACACAAATTAAATGAATGAATGTCTTCAATGAAAACAGAAAGCTAGCAGCAAACGCAAAGGGGTTGCTTATAAAGCAGTTCAATTGTCTGTCCCCAGTAGGCCTTGAACCTATGCTTTGGTGTATGAAATCCTCTTTGCAGGTGGGAAGTCCTGTTCATAACATCACCCCAGTCCCAGGAGTGCGCAGGTGGGAGCAGGATCTCCCTTATGCCCCCCTCCCTCTCCTGCCCCCCCTCCCCCCGCCAGAGCCCACCTGGCATGCCGGATGGAGGCGATGGCATTGCTGAACTCACTGTCGATGCTGCGACAGTTATAGAACTCCTCGTAGGCTGGCCTGGAAGAGCCCTGGTACTCGATGCGGCTGATGCGGCAAATGCCCACGATGAGGATGATCAGCATCAGGATGAAGGCGACACAGAGGGCCCCGATGATGATGTACAGGGAGTGCCGGGGCATGTTGGTGAGACTCTCCGCCATGTGACCCGACTTCCACTGGAGGTCTGAGGCAAAAATAAGCAAAGGACTGGATGTGAGCCATGACCTTTGGAATGGGAGGGTCTTCACTGTCCTTGCTTGGGCAACATAAAATATAAGGGCTGTCCAAACCGGGAAGAATTCTTTTCTGTGGATAACCTAGATCAAAGGCTACTGTCCTTAATACATAAGGGGCTCTTACAAATCATTAAGATACACCAAGAACACACCATAGAAAAATGGGCAAAGGATATAAAAAGGAATCCACCAAAGAAATACAAGTAGAAAAGTGTTTAGTTTCATGGTTCTTGAAGAATGCAATTCTTCTATCGGTTCCCAAATATTATTTAAAATTTTTGATAACCACAGTTCACATGGGTGCAGACATGAGGGTGTGTGAACTGATACACAGCCCTTGTGTAGACTTAATGGAATATCTTTTGACCCAGAAATTCCAGTTTTTAGAATTTATGCTGGGGAAATGATCCTATAAATGCCTAAAGCCCTACATACAAGGATGTTCATCTCAGCATCCCAATTTCTGAAATGTTAAATTGATCAATTATTACACATTTTAAAAAGGTTCATTAAATAAGCACGACTCCCAGGTATTCACCACTCAAAGGTAACACTGTTCAAAGTTAATAAAGTTCATATTGGACCATTTCCACTTCACCTTTCCTTCAGGTATTTTTTTTTAAAGAAAGAAAATGTTACGGCCACAGCTAGAGGCCCCGCCCCCATACCCCTTTTCCACCCCACAAGCAGAAAAACAATTTATAAAAGGTAAAAAAATGGGAAACCACCTAAATATTCAGCTCTCAGTGAGCTGGAGAGATGTTTTGTTCTAACAAAAAAACAAAAGCAGTTGACCAAACAGGACCTAGCCATATGGTACAGTCACACGTGAGCTCAAAGTGTCCATCCACACACTGCAAAGCTCAGGACAGAGTGATAGTAATGATGAACATCTGTTGCCTCCCTACTATGTTAAGCTCTTTGAAAACATCTCACTTAATCATTATGACCAATCAAAGATGCATTATTTTCTCTCTCTACTTTATGGGAAATCGGCATCAGGGGCTGGGTGAGTTCAAGGGCAGATCCAAGTCCTTAGCATCTGCCCCACACAGCCACACGTGAACAGCAGAGATCACTGGAAGGCGGGATTACAAGCCATTTTTATTTCTTTCATTCCACCTCTCAGTCTTTTCCAGCTTTTTTCAAAGGACTAAAATATTCCTTTCATAAAAATATTTTAAGGGGCGCCTGGGTGGCTCAGATGGTTAAGCGTCTGCCTTCGGCTCAGGTCATGATCCCAGGGTCCTGGGATCGAGTCCCGCATCGGGCTCCCTGCTCCTTGGGAGCCTGCTTCTCCCTCTGCCTCTCTCTCTCTCTCTCTCTCTGTCTTTCATGAATAAATAAATAAAATCTTTAAAAAAATTTTTTTTAAAAATATTTTAAAATAAGCAGTAAGTTATTGGAAGAAAACATCCATGGAATTTTCTTCCAACACAATAGTAGAAGAAGTATGGGCTTTGGGATCACACCACCCTTGCTGTCAATCCGTACTGGGACATTTACTCGACCTTCCTGAGACTTGGTTTCTTCATTTACAAGATGAAAATAGCAACAGCTACCCCATGGCTCGCTGGGAGCATAAGTTAGAGAACATGTAAAGAATAGGAATAGGAAGAAAGGCTGCTGCTGGGCACGTGGCGGGCAGTCCTAAAAAGGAGCAGGTGTGGTGGTGGAAGAGGCATGAAGGTTAAAGAGGAAGAAGACATTGTCCTCTGGAGCACACACGGTGAGCTCAGGATTACTGAGCATTGCCCTGTGCCCTTTCAAAAAACACCAACCGGTCTGAGCAGGAAAGTAAATGGAAGAATGTGACATAATCTCCTGCCCGAAACAGGCCAAGAGTGCCAAATTATGTCCCGTTTGCAGACCTGCACACACGCAGAATGTTCTGGATGATGTGAACAGGATTTGAAAGGAAGTTTTGAAAATAAAGAGGGCTCAGTAAGACAAGAGAGAAGTGAAATTCATGTGGAAAGGGATGCCTTCTCTACTCGACTCACAGCGCCCCCAGCTCCAGACCATCATTTGCACGTTAGGACTCGAGATGCCTGGAAATGGGACTCAGGGGTGGGTGTGGAAGGGCCCGTCTTCCCACCAAATGCTCAGATTCTTCTCACCATGCCGTATGCTGTGAGAGGGTTTGTGATCTCCAGGTACTCGGTCCCCCCTCTTAGCTACATCCTCAGTGCACGGAATCCAAGAACCAGTTCTTTACCTTGAAAAGTGACAATCGGAAGAAAAGCATGGGTAGATCCCCAAACAAGGGCCGAGTATGCAGAGCCCTTTCCTAGAAGCCTAATGGGAAAAGGGCCCATGACCCAAGCCTGAAGAACGAGATGAATGAAGTGTGTTCGCATCCAGATCTTCTGACTCCTGAGTTTTCACCAAGACCCCTGAAGGCTGGTTTGGCCATCCGAGGCTGCCTGCCCAAGCTCACGAAACCCACGCAGCAGTGAGCTAATTATTAGCGCATTCACTGCTCCATCCGAACCAGCTCACAGACAGGCAGATGCACCAGCATAAATCACAGCAAGGTCGCCACGGACGGGAGAAGGTGTTTTTGTGAAGCTAGAACTCAGCCTCAGTTGCAGATCACGGCCATTTCATTGGGCAATACCTGGTGCGCACTGAGAGAGACGCTCATTTTTCTGGCTGAAAGAGGAGCATGACTCACTTGATTTCCAAGTATTTCACCATTCTCTGAAAAATTCAGTTGTAGGCTGGAGTCCAATGCTCAGAGTATGCTCTAACACCCATCTAGCGTCAACACAAGGAAAGCCAGCACTGTGTCTACTCCAACTCGGTAGAGGGCTCTGCTCCGATCACTGTGGCAGGATCACACGAGTTCTTGATGAGCCCTCATCATTGATGCCTAACTTCACATAAATAGCTATACATCGTATTAATGACCACTACCATGGAAAGACAGTGCCGCTGAGTGTCCTAGGCCTGAGCTGCCCACACTGCTTACATTTCTGATCATCTGTTCTACTTCCCCAAACTCTGCCTTCCAGGCTGCTGGAACTTTTGGGAAACCTTTCTTGAAATTCCCCTGAAAAACTCTGTCCCCTCCTCCCCTACCTCCCCTACCCCTGCTCTTTTTTTTTTCTACCTTACTGTCGGCTAAAACTTTTCTGATAGAAGTGAGTGTGGCTGCTTGGCACACTAATCGGGTTGGAATTGGGCTGGATCTGAAAAGATCCAACCCTTCGTCTGGAAGCGGCAAGTGTATCTGCACCTGCCGCCCCCGGTCCTGGCATAAGTCATAAGACCCTCATGAGATATCGCTTTGCTGCATCCCAGGAGTTTGGTTGCATGAATCACTTACTACGCCAGCTACAGCACAGCTCAGGGAGGAACGGTGCACCAGAGTGTGCTGGATGGAATGATGCCGTCGGCTCCAGCCGGTGCATGACCCAGGACACATGTACACAAACTCTTCTGGGAAAAATGTCGCACTTATGGGTCTGCTAGACCAGTTGTATTTAGGTTTCAACTAAATTTGTTTCAGGTTTTGTATTTTCCAAAGTGTTTTCACATTTACATTTCAATTGGCCCTAAACAAAGCACCTTGAGCTAGGTAGAGAAGCTGGACTTGGAGCAGCTGCTCAAGGTGATAAGAGGCCATCCGTGGCCAGGCTGAGAATAAAACCAGACCCACCTACAAGGTCCACCCCACCAAAAGGGCTGTCATTAGACTTATAAATTTCATTCTAAAACACACTGCCTATATCTGGTTTTTAATTTACCTACATGAATGTAGCCAGACTAGCTCATGTGTTCACCTACGTGATTTAAAAAGAGAGTGAGTGTGTGATGTGTAGACATCAGACAGCTAGATAATTTTTGAGACCATCTGCTGCTAGACTACTTGAGAGGAAGAATTTCAAATTACCTTCTGTTTTCTCTAGCTCAAAGTTATCTGGACAAGCAAGGCAGTGAGTGAGATTAGAAAATATTAACAGCTCTCATTAATCTTCAGAAGAGGAAGGCAGAGGAAAGGAAGAAAGGAAAAGAAAGAACAGCTCACCTCCTTCGCAGGATCCATTCCCTAAGCAACCATTAATTTGGCACCTACTATGTACCAGGCATGGTGCTGGGTGCCGGGATATAGAGTGAGGAAAAGGAGACAGTTGGCTTCCGGAGCCCCCAGTCTTTTGAGGGGTGCAGGGACCCCCAAAAATGGTCACAAAGCAGCGGCAGACATCCAAGTGTGCCGAGCCAAGGAAGGGCCACCTCTGCGGTGCTACCGGAAAGGACAGAGGGAAGCTCCATTCCACTGGGGAATCAGGAGAGCTCCAGTGGTGAGAGTCTGCAGGAAGCTGGGCTCTGCAGGTCCGTAGGTATTAACCAGGGACAGGGGAGCGCCGAGGGGACAGAGTCCCAGGCCCAGACCTGGGAGGAGGTGGGGAACAGGACAACGGACTGCAAGGGGAACAGAGTGGCCTCTCGCGGGAGCAAGCCAGAGGCCGGTGGAGGGGGGAAGGGCTCTCTCTCACAGGTCCTACAGGCTCAAGTGTGGCCTTCAGTCTTTAGTCTTCAATATAAGCTTGGCACTGGCAGGGACGGAAACAGTGGTGGGAAGGAGGTCTGAGTATTCAGATTTGCACTTGGAAAAGACGCCTCTACCAGTTGCAACCCCGTGGAGGAACCCGAGGACATGATACGAAGTGAAACATGTCAGGTACAGAAGGAGAAATACTGCACGAGCTCACTTGTATGGGGAGTCGAAAGAAAAAGAGAAAGCCAAACTCATAGCAACAGAGTGCCAGAGGCTTGGGGCATGAGGCACAAGGGGAGATTTAAAAACAGGAAGAAAGAAACTAGAATGGTGATTGCCAGGGGCTGAGGGAAGGGGTCACGGAGAGTTATCATTTAATGGGGACAGAGTTTCGGTTTTTCAAGATGCAAAGAGTTACAGAGATGGACGGTGGTGAGGGTTGCTCACACGACGAATGTACTTAGTACCACGGAACCGTACACTTAAAATGATTAAGATAGTTAATTTCATGTTATGTGTATTTTGCCACAATAAAAAGAACTGGAAAAAATTTTAAAAAAGAAACAGACCATATATTTTCAGAAAACTAGAAGAAAATAAGAAATGCTTCTGGCCACATATAAAGAAATGGTTGGAGGGGCTAGACTGGGAGCCATGTGGTGTTACAGCAGTGAGGGAGATCTGCATAAGCCAACATGGATACACATTCTATGTATTATTCAGCAGAAAAGCAAGATGCTGGACAGGACGTATAGAATGGTCCCATTTGTATGAGAGAAAATGAGGACTTACAAAATTGACTGGATACATCTGGAAATATACACGATAAACGGCTAATGATCGTTACCTTTGGGGAGTGAAGTGGAGGTCTGGAGGAGGAGGAAGATTAATTAATTTTATTTTACTATATATTAAAGTATATATATATATATAAAGTATATATATATTAAAGTATCCTAGTTTATACAAAAATGAGAACTGAAGAACCTAACCAATTTGTACGATAAGGACTGTTCATATAACATAATCATGTCATGGGTTTCTTCAACCATTATGAAATTCCGTGCGTTTTAGGGAGGAGAGTCCCAAGACATCCATGTAGACTCTTTCTGGGCCCCTTCCCTGGGTTCCTAGAGCAGCCTGCAGAAAACCCACAGCAACCCCACCACAAAGCATGACCTACCCATGGATTATGAGCTCCTAAAAGCAGGGGCTGCTTCATTAACCTTTATATCCTGGGCCTAGTGTTCAATGTTTGATGGGAGGAGGCCCTTGATTATTGGTTGAATTATAAACCACCTATTCACCTATTTGTCAACTGCAAAATATCATGAATTTAATAGTTTAACCATAGATTCAACTGTTCAATGTCCTTAACTGACCAAGTGTTCTTGGTCAGCAAGAGTGACTGTAACTCTACCTGTATAAACCTCACAGCTCCTACACAGATGGTACAAAACAACACTACATAAACATATACAGGAATTGTAAATGTTAGACCTTGACTCTAGGAAGGCAAAATTTTTATTAAAACCCCCGACCAGAATTGTTGTCAGTCCCAAGTTGGTAAGAATGGATGAGAGATAGTTAAAATTTCACCAGGTTGTTTTGTTACTTTCCAAGACCTGGGGTTTGCATTTGTTTCAGAGTAATTATAAAACACTAAAGCTATTTAAATGATCCTTTTAGATAGTTCTGGATCAATGTTCTGGGTGGCTTTGGTAAATCTTTATGGTCTGCTAGATTTTTGCTCCTTATTACTGACGGGGAACAGATAAATATCTCTAAAAGGGCAAATTTCTAAGAAACACTGACTATTGGGTTAGTCAATGTGCAGAGAAGAAGACAGCTGTGCTAAAATCTAAAAACTCCAGACATAGTGCAGTGCACAGGCAAAGGCCCTGAAGGCAGAAACAAACTTGATCTGTCCACGGAAGAGAAAATAGGACAATGTTTTGGCTGAAGCAGACTGCTAAGCAAGAGAGGGAGGCAGGCAATGTGGCCTCTGGAGGCAGAGGTCAGGCTGATGGGAGGCTCCTTTACCACTTTTGACCACCCTGGAGGCCTCTGTGCTATGTAGCTATGTGGGCTACAGTTCTCTGTGTACATCTGAGCCTTCCTGCTGGGATCGACCCACCTGACCTTGTACCACCCAGGCACTCTCCTCTCTTGGTCCCTAGATCCATCCCATTTGATTCAGATCCAGTTCTCTAGATGCTGGCCACCAGTTCCAGCTACACGTCATAGCAGACCTCACCTGCACATTCTCCATTTGTACACTCAGGTCAAGGGTGGAAGCATCCAACACTGGAACCTAGCAGAGCTTAATCTGTGATGACATTGATTTTAGTGCCTTTGGCCCAATGGAGAGATGCAAATGAAGTCATCAAATGGAAAGTGCTATCGCAGGCAAACAGCCTGAGTGTAGACCAAAAAATTTTGTGATGGGCCCCCCCTCACACCTGGCCACTCAGTGTGGCCCATGCCCTGGGCATGCAACATCTAAAAAGACAGCTGCCGAAGGTTGGTCCTCCCAGGGAGTAGCTCATGGTATATATATATAAGCCACAGTAAATTAGCATTTATTTAGTGCCTACTGCATAGCAGAAGTGTGCACATGTTTGCCTCACGGCACCTTCCCATCACCATCTTATAAGTGAGGATGACAAGGCCCCAAGAGGTATATTTGTTTGTCCAGGTCACATGATGGAGCCAGAATTTGAAGCCAACTTTTACCCTTTCTATTATTCCATCTTTGTATATCTTTTGTCTATATCATCATCACTGGAAGGAAGTAAAACTTCAATTTTTTTATAATTATGGCACTTCACTTAAAAACTTCCTAAGGGCCTCTTGTGTATTCCTGACTTCTTAACCATACCCTCCTATACATTTATCTTCATAATTAAGATCTAAAAGTTATAAATAGATATTACTCTGCCCCAAGGCACAAACTTTGTCATTTCCAACAGCATTGCCAAATTTTAGAATGAAAACTGGTCTCATTTTATGGGTAAGTCAACTGAGGCTCGGCACAATTCAATGCAGCCACACAATGAGTGTCCCGCCAGGGGAAGAACCAAGGTCCTGCTGAGCCAAGGCTGGGATGCTTTCTGCCAACAGACCCCGAACGGACTTAACATCCTACACCAGCTCATAGCCATTGCCCTTTGACCATGGAATCCCTTTCAGTATCTTTCTTCAACACGACAACACTTCTTGCCCATCTTCAGCAAGGCCAGTTGGTGCTACGACCACTCCGTCCACGGGTGTTTAGGAAAGTCGATGATGGGGAGCCCGGAAAATAACGACCTTATTCCCCTCTCGAGCTCCGAGACCAGAGCAAAAAGACAAAGGATAAGCGGGGAGGAGCCCGGAGAGCATTACTGGTCAAACAGATGTTGGAGAAGGTGGCCCCTACCTCAGGCCCACGCTGGGAAGGAGACGGGCCCAGGGCTCCATGGGCACTGCCGGACCACCCGTGGGAGGTCGTTTTTGAAACAAAGAACAGAGGAGTAGGGGCAGCTGTCTCCTCCAGAAGGAGACAGACAGACGGGGCTCTGCGTACGTATTTGCCTCCTTCCAAACTCGCACAGCAGATGAGCCGTCTCTACCTGACGAAAAGTAGGGGAGGGCTGAGAGAGCCCAGGAGGGGGGCCCTTATGGAAGATCCCTTGCCCTGAACGAACTTGAGTGAAAAGAAAACCCCTTTCACGGTTGAGTTTTTCCCAGTTTCCCAAACAACTAGAACTCCGAACTCGGTGTCGGTTCTCACTTTCACCTCCATCCTGGCAGACCCACCCTTTTAATACATGAAATCTTGATTATGACATTTTCAAACTTCTGCGGGCTCATCTCTAAGAGAGAACACTTTGCTCTCCGCAGCTCGTAATGTTTTTCCAATTTTCTTTTACCCTCATCCTTGCTGGACTGTTCTCAAGGCCACGGATGGAACCTAATACGTTTGAAGACGCTTGAAGACATAAATGCAAAGCGAGTTTATATTCTGGGTGCTTTTTCATGTTTTTAACACAAAGACTCTATTTTGTGATACGATTCTAATGCTTCTCTGTTCGGCACAGTTTTGGCTGTCTTAGGAGCAGTGAACTCTGGATGACATCTGCACATGCTCATCCCAGTAGAAAGGCTGGCTTCAGACTCAGGAAGGAGGGGGAGGGGCACAGAGCAGAGAGCAAAGGTACTCCTCTGGGACTCGGGAGGCACGGGTGACTCAGGTTAGCCCTCTGGCCCCACTGCCCATCTGTCGCTGACAGGGGCCACCTGGGCACACTCAGTGCCCTCTTCTCATTGAATGAAAATATGAGGTTAAACAACAGCATAATACTTACGGATCTCGCAGTTTGCACCCACCCAGCCATGAGGGCAGTGGCAGGTGTAACCATTGGGCTGGTCCAGGCAGGTGCCGGCGTGATGGCACGGGTTACTGTCACATTCGTTGATGTCGATGTCACACTCGTCACCTACAGAGATAAAGAAACGCAGTGATGACAGTTGGCTTTACCAGCGGCGCTGTCACCCATCACTGCTCCGGCCAAGTGGAGATCCGAGGCCGGGGTCACGGTCTCCAGCAACGGAGCCCAATTGGCTGTTTACATGAAGTGGGGAACTCTCCCCAGAGTGCCAGACAAGGGATCTTTTGCTGAAGTAAAACTAAAAATGAAAAAAAAAAATGGCACTGGTCCAAAGAATCTCCTTTAGTCGAGTCAAATAGTTAACTGAGGCTGATTCTCACGTCTGAATAAACCTTTTGAGGTTGATGGGAAAAGCGAACTGGGGTTCCTGATTTTATTTAAAAAGTCTATTTTATTTTGAATTTCATCCACTGAATCTTCTTATTTTTCTGAAACTCCAGAAAGCCAAAACTCACAGTTTATGATTTTTTTTGTGGCCAAGTGTTGGATATTTGACTATTTTCTGGATAGTTCTAGGGCACAGCTGTGTGCCTAGCCAGAGTCAATTATGAACATTTACTTCACGTTCCAAATCCCTGGATATGTTTCTGGGAAAGATGGAAATGCACAGGAAGAGCATCAGCAACTCCCCCTCCCACAAGAAAAGACAGTTCTGAGGTCTAGGGTTAGCCTAGCTCTGACTCAGTCTCCCCTGGGAAACTATGACCCCGGGGAAGCTCACGTTCACTCCAGCCTGTCCTTCCCCCATGATGAAAAAGAGAGCTCTTGACCCTGCCTAGACCCAACATTTTGGGGCATCTCTGCCCCCACCGGAGAGAGCCTGGCTTAAACTAACAAACCAGACCATGGGCCAATGTCATGGTGGTCCAAACACCAACTTACAGGAAATAGCTCGTTATTACAAGTTACACAAACAAGCGACCTTCACTGACTTTAAGCCATACTATGAGTCAATACAAGATGGGTATGCGTCTCAAACCGAAAGGCATCTCATCAAATGAATGGAACAGGATACTTCAAATTGAGGCAATTTCTCTTAAGAGTTTGAGAATGAGAAAAAGAAATTTTTATCTGCTTAGATACATGTAAAAAGTGATACTTAAAAAACAGAACAAACCAAAAAACTCCTAGCACTGCTACAGTCATCAACCAAAGCAAAGGCGCAAAATCAAATATTTTGTCCGTTTTCAAAGGCGATGTTTCAGTGTACACGCGGATAGTTACTTCCAGGCTTACTTAACTAGTATTAAAGGACTTTCTAATCTGCTAGTGGTTTACCTCGCCTTTATGAAACCACCATATGTCGCTCCCAGCCCATTTTAGAGCAGGAATCTCACGCTGAAATATTTCGTGCCTGTTTCATTTCACACTTGTTTCTTACCTGGCGTCTATTTTATTTTTAACTAAGTGAAATCTGTCGAATAAAACATTTACTCCTTGGAGGCCCTACTAGGTTGATTGTAATTCAGTAGTGTCTAAGTGAATGTGCTTCCCGCAATAATTAAATAGTAAATGTAAATAGTCATTTACATCAATGGGAAAGCCATGAAATTGATTTCCTCTCACTAACCTAATTCAAAGGTTGTCTTGCTATTAATGGGGCAATCGCTCTGAGTGTAAAAGGGCACAGAGTAAACTATTACAGCCGGCATTACATGGTAGACTAGTTGAGGAGACATATAAACAAGAACGTGCTGAGAAACATTAAAAGGACTAAATCAAAGGCCTTGACAAATACATACACATCTGTACTACTTTCCAACCATTTGGGAAGACAAACTTAATTGAGGTATTTATTGGACAGTGGCTGTCCTCAGCTGGCCATGTGAAAACTGCAAGTTCTACAATAAGATGCCCTGTTACCTTTGCAGCCAAAGTTGGAGAAACAGCCTGACTTCTCTGTGCTTCCACCGCCCCGCAAAACTCAGAAGCTCCACTTTGCTCCGCAAATCCAATGTCAGCGTCAAACCCCTCTAATCCCCTAAATTCTGGGCAGTCCTAGAGCTAGTCCAGCCCATCCATTCCTGCTCTGGTCCAGAGCTTTTTGGACCAGCGAGGTAAATGCCCAATCCAGGGTCCAGACTAGCCCTAATGCATGTATTGGTTCTTGGATCTCCAAGGGGCACTAATGTAGTTGGGAAAAGTCTGCGGTCCGTAGGTTTGTCTCCTCCCGGGCCCCCCCAGACTGAAAGGATTTGATAGGAATAGAGAATGACAGGGGGAAATAGAATGAACTTGTAGGTATGGATAAACTTATCAAGACTCAGGATCTAAAGGACTGGGGACCACAGAGAGTCCCAAGCCCATCCACGTCTGGATATCTTCACCACTGTGTTCTTAGAGCCATACTGGAGATGGATCGAATGACACTAGCTAACGATATAAACTCTGGGTCCCAAACAGCCAGCAGCTAATTCCATAGCACAGGTGCTCTGGCTGACCCCAGGGGTGACGCATGGGGCACAGCGACCCTTGGATTACTCTAATGGCCTATCTTACAGACTGAGGCTCCTGCACCTCTGGTTGAATCGCTTATCCGCCACCTGGCTCTCAGTTCTAGGCCTTCACCGTGCCCTAAGCTGGCGGTAGGAATATGGACATGGGGTGATTCTGATGATGGAGCCCCTGGAGGAAAATTTTCAACCAGAAGACTCCCAAACACAACCACTCTTCTCTGCCTTACAATGATATGCTTTCTGATATCAGTCTTACGCAAAGTATTTGAAGATTTATTATGAATTATAGAGAGCAACTTTGTTGTATGTATATTCATTTGCATGTAAATTCATTTCGAGTTTCCCACAGTAAGAGTATTACGTTTTTGTAAGTGCCTCAGCACCCCACCATTCCACTCAAGCAATATGCATTCTGGCTTATTTTAGAAGAGTTCTTAGTAGATTATATCACCGTGCCTTACTCAGAGCTGACTTAATAAATCTTTATGTTTTTGCTGGCTTGAGCCAGATGACTTTTTTGTTGACTCGTTTACTTTTTTTTTTTTTAATTTGAGTTGGGGAAAAATCAATTACTTTTAAATCACTGTTGTGCTTGAATAACATTTGTAAAGAGAATACATAATGAAATTTCTACTTGACTAAGGCTGGAAATCAGAGTCTGAGCTTTAAATCTTTTACAATTCCTTTTCAATCTACTACTTCCTAAGAGGTAATACGTAGAGTAGGTATCAAATTTGATAGTATTTATGCAAATTTACAAGTGTGCCCTTTAATTCTGTATGCTTTACTCAAATACATTAAAATGGAAAAAAATTAAAAAGTCACTGTTGTGAGTAAACCCTTCAATTAACACAGCCCACACTGTCAATGAAAATCATTATATTTAGAATACTGAGTATTAAATATAGAGCTACTGTGTGCCAGGCGCTGGACTGGGTACTTTAACTATACCTCCTTCATGCTTCTCAGGTATTTTATTCCAGATGAAATGAATGTTAAAAATGATCTGGAACTTCTTCTGCTGTGATGGAGTGACAGAAAGCTCTCTTGGCCTTCCATGGTAAAGCGGATGAAATACATATTTAAGGAAAGACACTTTTGAGACATTAGACAACAGCCAGTTCACCCAAGAGAAGGAAAGCAGAACAGCTGAGTGCCGTGATCGTCCTGGCTTCCTGCCTGCAGCCAAATGAGAACACAGTGTCTCCCTGAACCAAGGACAACCGGACTTTGTGGGGGACGCGGTAGCTGCAACGTGTGGGACAGGCTCCCAAAGAAGATAGAGCCGGTCAGGAAAAGAGAATCAGAAATGTGCTGCATCCCCTTGAGTTTGTTGCTAAATCCTACGTGTGAGTACGTTGGAACTCCATGGGCTTGGCAAACACCACGAAGGATGAGCAGTTCCCCGAGCTCCTAGAGGACCGTGTTCAAAGTCTCACAAGTCAGAATGCAGATATTTCATTGGTCACCCAGTGCCTCGGTGGGAAAAGGTGGCACCTCAGGACTAGGGCATCTCTATCCCTAGAGAAAAGGCAACCACAGACCCACTCCCCAAAATATAAAAACAAACCTTGGAAGGATCAGTCAGGCCAGCAAGTAACTTACCTACCTGCCGGGGGGTGGAGGAGAAGGAGGGGCAGCACTTAAAAAAAGAAACACAAAAAACCCAATCACTCAATAACTTAACTCACCATGACTGTCCATCCACACAAGGACCATTAGCTGTGCAAAGAAATAGGAATATGTGGCCCATAACCAAAAGAAGTATCAGTCCAAAGACACAGATGCAGAAATCACAGACGATGGTGAGTAAACAAGGAATTTGCTTGCTCAAAATGTGAAGGAAAACATGAACAAAATGAGGATAGAAAGGAAAGATATAGAAAAGAACCAAATGGGACTTCTAGATATGAAAAATACAATATCTGAAATTAAAAACAGTACTGGCTGATTTTCACAGCAGACTAGATTCTGCAGAATAAATCAGTAAACTTGACAACAGCAATAGAAGCTAAACACATGGAGGCTCAGGAAAAAAAATTATTTTAAACTCAACAGAGACTCAGTGACCTGTTGTACAATTCTAAGTAGTCTAACAGATGTAATTAAAGTCCCAGGAAAGGGGAGTGAGGCATAAAATAATATTTGGTGGAATAATGGCTAAAAATTTTCCAAATTTGATGAAACTATAAAACCACAGATCCAAGAATTACACCAAATCCCAAGCAGGATAAACACCAACAAAATCACACCAAGGAACATCGTGATCAATTTGTTAAGAGCCAGTAATCAAGGAAAAATCCTAAAAGCAGCCAGAATGAAATCTCTGCTTCCAAAACGGTGCAACAGAAATATGTTTCCTACTCCTCCTATAAGCAGAAACTCTCGACATTATACAGAAAACAAACATGAGAAGACTCTGAGGGGTCAGGAGGAGACAGACTGGCAGGGAAACTCATGACCCATGGAACAATGTGGCGGTGAGCTCCTGAGTGTTCTTCTGGCTTCTTATGTTCCAGACCAGATGCTGGAGAAACCAGCAACCCAGGAGTGCCCAAAAGTACATGGAAAAAAGAAAGAAAGAAAGAAAAAAGCCCCAACTGCATAACACATTTACAAATACTCCATGGATCAAAGAGTAAGTCTAAAGGAACCTAAACAAAATTGAATGAAAATGAAAATATGACATAAAATTTGTGGGACACAGCCAAAGAATTGTTTTCTTTAAGATTTTATTTATTTACTCTAGGGAGAGAGAGAAGAGAGAATCCCAAGCAGGCTCCATGATGAGTGCAGAGCCCAACATGGTGCACAATCCCAGGACCCTGAGATCATGACCTGAGTTGAAACCAAGAGCCACCCAGGTGCCCCCACAGCCAAAGAATTGTTGAAGGGTGAATCTGTGGCACCAAATTTTATACATGAGAAATAGGGAAGAGCCTCAAATCAATAATCTAAGGTGTCACCTAAACAACCTAGAAGAAGAGCAAAATCAACCTAAGCTGAAAAAGCGAATCTCATGAGGTAAATGTGCCATTGGATTGAGTGTCTAATTATCTGACAATGATTGTCCTAATTCACTCCACTTAGTCAATTAGGGAGCTTTTGAGTGCTTAATAGTTGGCCAAGAGTAAGTTTTGCTAACTCTTAGGTAAAGTGAAAGAGTATTTGGTACCAAGGTAGCAATTCAAGGAGGACAGGCAGCACCATTCCTTACGTGGTGGAAGTGAATATTTTACCAGACTCTTCCATGCCTGCTAACTCTCAGAATACTCTAGGTTCTTCTTAAGGGGGGAAGAAAGGTTCTATGATCAAAAATATTTGGAAAATAAACAAAGGCAAATAAAATTCTCTGCCGTACGACCTCTCAGAGCCTGCAGTTCCCAGACACCCTTTATGAATCTCCACATGGTACCATGCCCCAAATTTACTTGGCCAAAGATGCTTTTTCCAAGAAGCATCTCATGGGATCAGTGTTCTATAAAACATATTAACAGCACAGATCTCCAAAACAACTTTGGGAACTGTTCTGTGGTCCTCTGCAGCCAGAACAGTTACCAGGGCTGAAGAGAAAGAGACATCTGTTGTTTTCAAAGACCAGTTTAGAGTGAGGTTAGAATCTGCTTCACGGAGGAGTCCAACCTCTCCCTCCAATTAGGGTGAGTACCGCGGAAGAGATGCCTAGGGATGGGGTGGGGGAGCAGAGGAGACCAGGAGGCAGGAGATGGAGGGAAGAACATTACTGAGAAGATCCTGACTCGGGGTGTTCAGGAACCAGCCAGGGCAAGGCTGGAAATGCTGGATGGGGCCAGATGGCTGGGGTCTCAACAATCATGCTGAGGGCTTTGATCTTTTTCTTGAAAACAATGAAATACCAATAAGCAATGTTTAAGCAGCAAGCAACGGGATTAGAGATTCATTTCATAAGGTCTCCGCAGTGTGGGGAATGCGTTAGGGGTGAAGGCGAAGGGGTGTGGGGAGACCAGTTAGAGGCGCTGTACTCGTGTGGGCAGGACATAAAGGCAGCCCAGTATTGGCTCCAGGAAATGACAGCAACTAAGAGGTTCTAGGATTCTTCGGTGGTTGGATGCATGTAAGGGAGAAAAAGACGAGAGGACAAAATGAGTCCCTGGTTTCTGGCCAGAACAACTTGAGGTGCTAGTAATACCATTTATTGAGCTAGCAAACATTTCAAGAAGGAAGGGAGGGGACACCTGGGTGGCTTCGTCAGTTGAGCATCCCACATCCCACTCTTGGTTTCAGCTCAGGCCATGATCTCAGGGTCCCGGGACCAAGACTCAAGTAAGGCTCTGCGCTCATTCAGGGAGTCTGCTTGAGATTCTCTCCCTCTGCCCGTGCCCCTCCCCACCCCCTCTCTCTCTAAAATAAATAAATAAATCTTAAAAAAAAAAAAAAAGAAGGAAGGGAGAAGAAAATCTATACCTCCAAGTATCTTTGAGAGATACCCAAGAGCGAATGCTGATTAGGAAGTTGGAGATTTGGTAAATATTCTGGAGAAAAGATTGCATTTTACCTCCCATAAGATACCAAGATAAATTTCAAATGGATTAAAGAGTTGCATGCACAAAATTAACTCCTATGTTATTAGGATAATATAGGAGAATGTTTATAAAATCTTGATGTGTAGGGTTTTTCTAGCATGAAACTACAAGAAAAGAAAGCAAAAGAAAATATCAAGATTTAATTGTACAAAAATAAAATATAGGAAAACAAAACACTCCTATACATTTAGAAGGCAAATGACAGTAGAAAAGTATTTTCAACCTATGGAATATAAAATGTCATATCCTTACTAAAAAGGGCTATTTCAAATCAAGAATAAAGATTAACATAAGTGTTCATTAACTGGGATTAAAATAAAAATTTAAAGTAAAAGAAAGGAAGGAAGGTAGGAAGGCTGGTTAACATAAATGGTAGAAAAGCAAAGAGGGTATATGAATAGGGAGTTTATAAAAGAAGAGAGACAAATGACCACACACTTATTTTGAAAGTATTCAACCTCACTAGGAATATCAAAGACCTACAAACTAAGACAACACTTAAAGGGTATTTTTGGCCACCAAAATGACAATTCTCAGCATCTCTATGAAGTCAAGGAAACAGGTGTCCCTGTACACTCTCGGTAGGAGTGAATTTGGTACAGTGTTTTTTCTCAAGAGCAATATGGAAATATGTACCTATTTTCCTGGACCCTGGGACTCCGGGAAATTAGCTCAAAGAAATAATCAGACAAGTCCACAAAGATGTACATACAAGAATACTCATAGCAATGTTGTTTACAATAGGGAAAAGTTCTCAACTCCCCCAAAAGCTGAATTGGCCATATGTTAGGACAAAAAACATTTTATATAATGGCCTATAGGGCAGCCAGTAAAAATGATAAAACATTTATGATATACATGTATGTTTAAGTGAGAAGTAGGTTACAATATAGTAGGGGCAATGCAATTCCTTTTTGAATTCAAATATACACACGTACACACTATATGCTGTATGTTATACACACAGACCTTCAGGAAAATCTCTGGATATATGTATCAAGATATTAACGAGGGCTGCCTCTGAGCGGTGCAGTGCTAAGCGGTGGGGGTTTTTCCTATGGTCTTATATTTTCTAATCTTCCCTCCATGCTTTTTATGATTTGTGAGATAAAAATGTCTGGGTGGGGGGAAACACCCAGAAAGCTTCCCCAATATTATTTTTGCATCCATTGATGAGTATAAACGTCTGTGTGTGTTTATAAACCAGTCAGCAAAACAAAACCATCTGCGAATTATTTTCTGGAATGAGCCCACTTCTCAGTCCCAGGAAGACCCAAAAGGAAAAACACAGGATGTGACACAGATAAATAGAAGGAAGATCAGACGTTGCTTCTCCCACATCTTGACTGCTGGCATCTTCCCCAGTGAAATCCGCCAGGGTTTGGTGGGGGGGAGCGCAGCAGCTCGGCAGGGGAGAGGGGAGCAGGGATCCGGGAGCGGGCAAGGTGCTCTCCTGCAGCTAAGTCCCCACCTTCTTCTGTGAGCACTCTATATGTCAACCTTTCCCAACTCGCAAACCAGAGTGACCCAGATGCTTCTGTTGGTTGAGCAAGCCCTGGAAACCTCGACTTGTCCTACGCTCTACATTTCAGGACTCTTGGGTTCTGATGGAAAAGCAAAGGATCGACCTTTTCTACCCCAGTGGTTCATGGTTCCTTCTGAGAATACAACAAAAATGGGAACCTCCTCTCAACAGATACACATCCATACAATGTTTCACATCCAATTTCAGGGATTCAAAACCTCCCTGAAGCCCACAGCGTAGGAGGTGATCTAGAAGGATCCCTAGTCTAGAAATGACTCTTCCCACTCAGAGCTCAGGGGCCACCAGGGCTTCTCTTGCAAGCAGCCCTGCCTCCTTCCCCCTGCCCTCCCAATCTACTGCGCTCTTGGCAGTTTTCTCTCCCCATCCCCCACACCTCCAGCGTCTGTACCTTCACTAACAAGCGCCGCTGACGCTGGAGTCACTCCCTTACTGCCCACCACCACCTGCCTTCATCTTTCAGTATCCTGCCGCTGTTGCATCTTTCCGTAAAAATAAATGTGGCCACCCAGTGCAATGTCTAGAAAAGATGCATTTGATCCTTCCTTTCCCCTTCAGTGAACACTTAAATTTCTCAGCTGCTGGCGTAATGGCTCATTGCTTGTGTTTCAAAGCTGCGGTTCTGGAAACGTATAGCAATGACAATCTCAGCAAGTCTCTGTACCAAATGCTGGCTTCAGAAGAACCTCCTGCAATGACAACACAGCCAATTGTTTTATAGATTTTTGTCCAAGCGGTGCCTAGTCGCATTTTGCAACCGTTTTCGTATTTTGCAATAATGTATGCGTAGAGATTTCTGAGGTTTTTTGTTTTTGTTTTGTTTTTGTTTGTGTGTCTGTTTTGTTCTTAACAGCTGCCATCTTCGGGATTTGGGGGTAGATTTGAAAACTCAGCTCCCGGCTCACTTGCCTGTAAACCCGGGTGCGCAGACACAGGTGCCATTTAGGCCCTCGCCGTCACAGGTGCCTCCGTTCAGACAGCTGATGTTAGCGCAGGGGTCCTTGTACGACTCACAGTGTATTCCTGCGGAGAAACAGACGCAAAAGGGGTCACTCGTTAAGGGATCTCCAGCCCCCATGGCCTTTAAAAGCCAAGTGTTGGGACAGCCCAACAACTGTGTGAAGGCAGGTTCCCAGAGGCACACGTGTGTGCGTGAGTGTGTGTGTGTGCACACCCGTGTGCCCACTCTTGACTGTCGTGAGGACAAGCCTTATGAGGACACAACAAATCCATTCTCCGCTTTTAGGTCCCACCATTGTCATTTATCTGTACTTTCTCTGGCGACCTGTCCCAAAGTCTGGGGAACAGCAAGTTAGAAGCCCGAAAGATAGTATTTATCAGAATGTTTTCAAAGTCTCCAGAAGAAACAGAAAATAGCCAGACATCCTTTATAAGATATCGATATAATTAATAAGCAGCCTCCTGATGGGAAAGCTGAGGAGTCAGATCTTGAAATGAGCTCTGCTTCTACTTTGGGGAACTGCAGAGCAGAAAGGGAGCCACGGGGTACTTAGACTTTATTCTAAAAGACCAAATCCGATCATCATGTACCAAAGTTAACGTGTTGTGCACTAGCTTTGTCCCAGACCCCCGCACCGGGCTTTGCATCTCACTGGATCTTGGCAACAACACTAGGAGACAAATAGCCTTATTCCTCCCCCACCCCCATTTTACAGATGAGGAGACCAAGAAAAAGCACGTGAGGTCACAAGGCTGGGGGAGGGGCGCAGCTGGGATTTAAAACCACCAGCTATCTGAATCTGAGTCTGTGCTTGCTAAGTAGTTTGCCGAGAATGAGCTCAGACTGGCTGTGGAAATGTACGAAATTCCACAGAGCTCAGCACCCATTTCACAAAAAGTAGGCATTTTACAAATCTTTACAGCAAAAGCAGTTTCCCATGGGTGTAAAAAAAAAAAAAAGTTTATGTGTGACTGTGTGTATGGAAACGTAGGGCTGAGGGACTGAATTATTTTGGCTTTCACATCAGGGATTTCTGTATTGGTGGAATTTTTTTTCAATGAGTAATTATTGCTTTATAATTTCCTAAAAAACTTTAAAAACCCAGTGCTATTTGAAAGGTAAGACTTCTGCTGTTGTTTCACCGGAAGGTCAAGACAGATGAATGGAGTAATCTCGCCTCTCTCTCTCTCTCATCCCTTGCCCTTGGGAGGGGAAGATAGATTATATTATATTCTGTATAAGGATGTGTATAGGGATACATTCACCCTTCCTGACAGCCTCATGAAAAACAAGCAGAAAGCAAATAGTAACGGAATGGTATTTACTCAATTTGCTCTCCACTTCATTACTGAGCTCATCTGGTGCAAAGGACTGCCACACCCAGTGACTCATCATTTAGTCACTGAAATTATTCTTGTTGGGATTTTTGTCTATCATTTCTTTTTCAGTGTCTTAAGAAGTCGGGCTCAAGGAGGAGGAAAAAAAGTGTAAGAGGAAAGAAAAACAGAATTGCCTATCTGTATTCATACTAACAACCTCTTTGAGCCTGGCAAAGCATTTAGAATGGATGGTTTTTCATTCCATTTTATCCTTTGCCCCTCATGCCCATCCCATGAATAATAGTCTGCCAGATATTTTCCCAAAGGGCCTTTTAGGTCCTTGCCTGGCTTTTCTCCCTGCACCTACCACCCCGATCCCACCTCCTCGGGCCTGGTGGGACGTGGCCCCCTAAAGCCCCATCCAAGCTCCCTCCCTGTCTCCAGTGACTGGAATGAGCCTCCCCGACTTTCAGGGTCCTTAAGTAACCCAGGCAAACCAGGTGATGTTTGAGATCAAACTAATTTAAAGATGTGCATAAAACTGGTAATGTTTTCTCACTTGGGTGTGTACAGCCTTTTCACCCAGAAGCTTCTATTTTCCCACTGATTCCCAAGTAGCACGGGCTCAACCAAAAGAATAAAATGCAAAACAGTCTTTTCTGCTTCAAAGTGTTTATCAAAAAACAAAGATCTACATATTTTCAAGTTCCCACGGGGCTGATCACTGGAAACCAGGTGACAGAAAAGGCTTTCAAATGTAATGGGAAATACAGCTATGACCAAAGTTCAGAGATGCCTGGAATCTAAAAAGATGTCCATTAGATCTAAAGAAAGAAAGACCAGAGATGATCTTTACTGGGTTTCTAGTAATGCATTAGCCAATGAAGCCTGCATAATATTAATACAATGAATATATTAACACACAGAGGACCACATTTCTCAAATCAGGCAGAAAAGCAAATTGTAGGTTAAATATTCGAACATCTTAACCTTAAAAGACTTTGATAAGATAGATTAGGTGAAAACACCCAAGATAATAGCAATTTCGATCTTTTGGGTGTTTTTTGTTTTGTTTCTGGCAATAATTTTATCCCTTGTTATTTCTCTTTTTCAAAAGATATTGGGTCACTTGAGATTGAGAATTTTCTGGCAGCAAGATCGGACAAAAGCTCATCTTCATGGAAACATGATGGCTATGAAGCAAGGTGGTCTTAAAAGTCCCCAGTGAGCACTTGGTTTCTATATGCCAAGCCTTGCTAATCCCTATACAAAAACTATTTGTCATATCGCTCAGCTTGTCTTTTTTTTTAAGATTTTATTTATTTGTTTGAGAGAGAGAAAGCACATGAGAGGGGGGAGGGTCAGAGGGAGAAGCAGACTCCCTGCTGAGCAGGGAGCCCGATGCGGGACTCGATCCCGGGACTCCAGGATCATGACCTGAGCCGAAGGCAGTCGCGTAACCAACTGAGTCACACCCAGGTGCCCATGCTCAGCTTGTCTTAAGAGCCGAACAACCACGAACTGGAAACCTTGAATACAGAGAATAGAGAGTCATGAACACTACTGATGTGCCAAACCCTCCTTCTCGGGCCCCCTTCCCCAGGGGCCCTGAACACTGGCACCCCGCTGAGTGTTAGGCGTCCATTTCCTCTGACAAGAATGCCTTCCTTTCCTTCTGCCCAGGCTGGTCTCCACCTGGCACATTCTATCTGTCAAAGCCTAACTCAAATGCTCTTTCTCTGGAAAGCTGAACCTGAGTCTCCCGAGACAGAGCTCCATTTTTCCACCATTGTGCATTGAGAGCATGCTGAGATTCGCACTGTGTACAGAGTTTACTGTGTCAAAGCATGACTTATCTGTTCTCCTGTCTGATCCATCTCCCCCCCCCCAACAAATCTCTGAGGTCCCTTAGAGTAGAGGCCATGATTTAACGCATGGAAGAAATTCTGGGTGTATCACCAGAATCCTGTCCTTTCAGGAGGGGCGACGGTCCGTGTACTTTGGCTGACACACAGGTAGGACTGCCAGAGGAGTGAGAAGCCATTCCAAATCTGCCTCAAAAACACCCTATTTTGTCAGGGAAAACCAGGTCCACACTTCAAATTAAGTCCGTGGAACGACACATGCATCACCCATTGGCAAAGGACGTAGCACGCACTATTACGAAATTTATGTTTAGTCTCAAGCAAAAATAAACTGTAATTCAGTCAAAACTAATAAAAATTCATACTTTTCATATTAAGGGATAGAGAGGCAATGTTTCTGAAAAGACCTCTATTCCAACAGGGCTCTGTATAGAAGTTAATTTTAGAATTAAAATGAGCAAAAATTCAAAGAGGAGCACACCAATTGTAAATCTTTGTTGCCATCACAACTTAGTCGTGATTAGTGTTTTGAAAACCAAAAGTCACTATTTTAGCTCCAGGAAAATTAAATCAGGTAAAGAAATTAACTCTATATGTTCTTTGAACTTAATATTCATTTTAAGACACCATCTTATTTTATTCAAGCTTATTTCCTCCACAAAAACTTTCCCAGTATTTCAACCATCACAGAGGCCAACCCCTTCTAAACTTCCTTCCCCTCAGAAATGACAACTGACATCTCGACCTTGGCCTCACTACTTCTTTTGTGTGTGCCAGTCTCAGTCTGCTCCTCTGGCTAAATAATAGCCCAAAAAAGGAAGAAACCCTGACTTATCCATTTTTGTATCTATCCCACTATTGGAGAAGGGCTACATACACAAAATATCCAGAAATTCTTGTTCACTGGTTACACAGAAAAAAGCAATTTGGGCAAACAAAGTGTTCTCATCTTCAATTACAAATTTCTGTAGACTTTTAAAATAAACAATTAGGTACAATGTGATCGAACCTACAACCCAGTGATCTCATTTCTGAAACCCAATCCCACCCCCCCAAATTCAGAAAGTATAAAAATTATATGCATAAAGATGTTCATTTCAGAACTGTTTATAACAGCCTCACATCAGATGCCACAAGGGAATGGATAAATATTCCCCTAGGGGAATATTACATAGCCATTTAATATAGAACTAGTAAGACTTCCTAGTAAAATCTAAATCAAACCTACTACAAAAGGAAGGTATGGGAAGAACAATATAAAAATTATAGGTATAGTCCATTGTATCTGTGAAAACATGGATATTTAAAAAGGATGGAAACAACAGAGATGCTTACTGCTCTTGTATTCTGTTGAAAACTATGAGATATCTCAAATTTTCTCCTTTCCAAAAATTGTATTATTGTTGCACTGTTTCCATAATTAAAAATTGAAATATTTTCTTTATAACTTTGGCACCAAAAATTCCAAATTAGTATGCTGTTGATCATGTAGTTTGTCCTACTAAAATAAAAGTCAACAGCATATGGGGAAACTTGACTTTTTGACAATATGAAGTTGTGAACTAACCAAGGTCTTAAAAGTCTTGCCATGAACTAGCTCTGAGCTAATTTGGAGGAGGGATGAGCATTTCGCTATGTCCAAAGGGAGGTCACTCCAAGTCCCTCCACGCATTTTGCTTCTAACAATTTCATGATCTACAGTGGAAATTTTCTGGGAAAACATTCACGTTGGTTTCCTTTATTTAATCAGTGTGTTAAGCAGCAATTTCAATCCAACTGAAGATGGCTGTGGAGCACTTGCCTTTGTGCAAGCCACCACATCAAGAGCTGCAGAGAATTAATGGGAGGAAAAAAAGAAACTTTATATAGTCTCCGCCT